CATGTATACTCCAAGTATACTCCAGGTATACTCCAAGTATACTCCATGTATACTCCAAGTATACTCCAGGTATACTCCAAGTATACTCCATGTATACTCCAAGTATACTCCAGGTATACTCCAAGTATACTCCATGTATACTCCAAGTATACTCCAAGTATACTCCAGGTATACTCCAAGTATACTCCATGTATACTCCAAGTATACTCCAGGTTACTCCAGGTATTCTCCAGGTATATCCAGGTATACTCCAGGTATACTCCGGTATACTCCAGGTATACTCCAGGTATACTCCAGGTATACTCCAGGTATACTCCAGGTATACTCCAGGTATACTCCAGGTATACTCCAGGTATACTCCAAGTATACTCCATGTATACTCAAGTATACTCCAAGTATACTCAGGTATACTCCAGGTATACTCCAGGTATACTCCAAGTATACTCCATGTATACTCCAAGTATACTCCAAGTATACTCCAGGTATACTCCAAGTATACTCCATGTATCTCCAAGTATACTCTCAGGTATACTCCAAGTATACTCCAAGTATACTCCAAGTATACTCCAGGTATACTCCAAGTATACTCCAAGTATACTCCAGGTATACTCCAAGTATACTCCATGTATACTCCAAGTATATCCAGGTTATACTCCAAGTATACTCCAAGTATCTCCAGGTATTACTCCAAGTATACTCCAAGTATACTCCAGGTATACTCCAAGTATACTCCATGTATACTCCAAGTATACTCAGGTATACTCCAAGTATACTCCATGTATACTCCAGTATACTCCAGGATACTCCAAGTATACTCCAAGATACTCCAGGTATACTCCAAGTAACTCCAAGTATACTCCAAGTATACTCCAGGTATACCAAGTATACTCCAAGTATACTCCAGTATACTCCAAGTATACTCCAGGTATACTCCAAGTATACTCCTGTATACTCCAGTATCTCCAGTGTATACTCAAGTTACTCCAAGTATATCCAGGTATACTCCAAGTATACTCCAAGTATACTCAAGTATACCCAGTATACTCCAAGTATACTCCAAGTATACTCCAGGTATACTCCAAGTATACTCCATGTATACTCCAAGTATACTCCAGGTATACTCCAAGTATACTCCAAGTATACTCCAGGTATACTCCAAGTATACTCCAGGTATACTCCAGGTATACTCCAAGTATACTCCATGTATACTCCAAGTATACTCCAGGTATACTCCAGGTATACTCCAGGGCGTCTTTTGTCTCATATAAATGGTGCACATTACTGATAAGTTGATCAATAAAATACATATGTGACACTTAGGTGTCTATTGTTAAAGTGCTTCGCCTGTTTAGCTGGTGACTGAAGAAGTCTGCTGAGCAGACGAAAGCCTTCGATGGTAAAGGTTACTAAGAGCAGCACAGGAGGTTCCTTATTCGTGATCGAAGGTCTTTTAATTAAAGCCGGTGAAGGTTTTTTGATGCCGGTGAAGTCTTTTGATTAAAATTATCATTTGATTCCGGTGAAATGCTTTTGATTAATTATCAGTATGAACGTGACAGTCCATACCACCAAAACAAGAAGGAACGTTACATCTGTACGTTCAGTGTTCCACTTGACTTATATGTCGGGGAGATAGGCTAAGACCTTCAGACACGCCTTCAAGAACACAAATACACCTGCAGGATGGAAAACAACTCATACGAGGCTCATCATAATGGTACGTGATGGACTGAGAGAGGAGGTCAACAGTTATGCCAGGAGAACGACAGGACCAAACACTGAGCTCCAGAAGCAGCCACGACCCACATTTTTTTTCTTAAACAAATCAGTTTTACAGGCCAAGAGCTGTTATCCTACCTCAGCTCATTTCAAAAGCCCAGCTCTATCTCACGTATACTGCCGTCCCACAGGATGCAACCCACACCAATCAGCTAACACCCTGGTACCTACTTGCTACTAGGTGAACAGGGACAGCAGGTGTAAGGAAACACTTCCCCGCCCCCCCCCCCAATATTTCCACTCGTACCAGTTATCGAACCCCTGACATCCAGTGTGTGAACTGAGTGTACTTTCTGACACCATCGAGCATGGGAACGATGGGACCAAATACCGAGCTTCAAAAGAAGCTGTGATCCATATCCAGTTGTCCCGTAGCTCGATTGTTAGCGCCCTCAGCTCACACACTGAAGTCCGTGGTTGGATCCCCGGTACGAGTGGAAACATTAGGACGTGTTTCCTTACGACACCTGCTGTTTTGGGTTGCATCCTGGGGACAAAATTAACCAAATTTGCCCGAAATGCTCTGTATATGTAAGTGTACCAGGAGGAAATATTTTACTGTATGAGACACCGAACTATAAATAGTATAAAAAGTATCTCAAAAACTGAAAACTAAATACTTTTATATATATATATATATATATATATATATATATATATATATATATATATATATATATATATATATATATATATATTATATATATATATATAATTAGAAAGAAAATAGAAGAAAACCCAGAGGGGTGTGTGTGTATATATATGCTTGTACATGTATGTGTAGTGTGACCTAAGTGCAAGTAGAAGTAGCAAGACATACCTGAAATCTTGCATATTTATGAGACAGACAAAAGACACCAGCAATCCTACCATCATGTAAAACAATTACAGGCTTTCGTTGTACACTCACTTGGCAGGACGGTAGTACCTCCCTGGGCGGTTGCTGTTTACCAACCTACTACCTAGAATATATATATATATATACATATATATATATATATATATATATATATATATATATATATATATATATATATATATATATATATATATATTATATATATATATATCAGCACTGCGACTAGCCGAGGGTTCGAACCCATGTCGTTTTGGTCCTGCCTCGTGGTGAGCGAAAATCTCATGATGTTCTAACCCACTGGACCACACAATCCTACAAGAATCAAGCATCTAGCAGAGCTAGGTGTTTTACCTTGATCCGATAACTACTGGGAACGGTTGAAGTCCCTTGATCTGTATTCCCTGGAACGCAGGCGAAAAAGATGCTTGATAACATACACTTCGAAAATCCTAGATGGGATTTGTATCAAATATACACACGAAAATCACTCCCTACGAAAGCAAAAATCTAGGCAGGAGATGCAACATCCGCCCAATGAAAAGCAGAGGCGCTACAAGTACATTAAGGGACAACACAATAAGTGTCAGGGGCCCCAAGACTGTTCAACTGCCTCCCAGTATACATAAGGGGGATAACCAGTAGATCCCTGGCTGTCTTCAAGAAGGCACTGGGCAGACACCTAAAGTCAGTACCTGATCAGCCGGGCTGTGGTTCGTACATCAGATTACGTGCGACCAGCAGTAACTGCTTGGTTGATCAGGCCCTAATCCTTGTCACAGATCGAGTTGCGGGGGCGTTGATCCCCGAAACCCTCTCCAGGTATACTCCAGGTATAACAAGGGGCTTTCTATATAGTAGTATGTCACTGATGTCAGCTACATGTACTTATAGAAATAAAGATTATTATTATTATTATTATTATTATTATTATTATTATTATAAACCCATTTACCCACGTTGTCATTGAATCATGCCTCAAAAGCAGTTCTAGTTATAGTTTCATTTGCTTTAATGGGGCCGTGAGGTGCCACGAGTGATGTTGTTGAATCACGAAGTGCCATTCGTCATTGTACTGGTGGCTGGTAAGAAGAAACAGTGGACACACATATGAGACTGATTGGTCATTATTACGATGGCGGCGACCAATAAGGAGAAGCGGGGAACGATCAGGCTATGCTCATTGGTCAGGAGCGTGAGTGCGGGTAACCAATGGTAGTAGGATGTCGTGTGTGGGGCTCCGGTGAGGTTCTTGGTTCATGAGATCTCATTAAGCTCTCGTTGCTGCAAGAATAGGTGCTCAGAAGCTCTCGGTAGGTTCCCTTTACGGTAAGAGTAAGTTTTCAAGAACTCTGGATAGACTCTTAGTGTTGCAGGAGTCGGGGATAGCTGAACCGGGCATAGCCTTAATAGCTGTACCAGCCACTTACAGTTCATGTACCAGCCTCTAACAGACCTTGTACCAGTACCAGCCTCCTATAGTCCCTGTACCAGCCTCTTACAGTTCATGTATCAGCCTCTTACAGACCTTGTACCAGTACCAGCCTCCTACAGTCCCTGTACCAGCCTCTTACAGTTCATGTACCAGCCTCTTACAGACTTTGTACAAGTACCAGCCTCCTACAGACCCTGTACCAGCCTCTTGCAGTTCATGTATCAGGAGATGCAGAAAGGTTGATATCTAGCATGGGCCAGTAAAAAACAAAAAAGGCACAATACTGTGACTGGAACAACACACAAATAACTCGCACATGTTAGAGTAGAGCATTTACAAGTCACCTGTCTATGGTCCAAGTCGAACCCGAAGGTCTTCATAAGTTTCTCTCTCCTCTGTGCGGGTTATTTGTGTATGGGTCAGTAGTTCCTACCTAGCATGTACTAGCAGGTCCTGCCTAGCATGGACTAGCAGGACCTCCCTAACATGGACTAGCAGGACCTGCCTAGCATGGACTAGCAGGACCTGCCTAGCATGGACTACCAAGATCTGTCTAGCATGGACTAGCAGGACCTGCTTAGCATGTACTAGCAGAACCAGTCTAGCATAGGCCAGTAGTTCCTGCCTAGCAAGGACTAGCAGGATCTGCCTAGCATGGACTAGCAGAACCTACATAGCATGGACTAGCAGGACCCGCCAAACATGGACTAGCAGGACCTGCCTAGCATGGACTAGCAGGACCAGTCTAGCATGGACTAGCAGGACCTGTATAGCATGGACTAGCAGGACCTACCTAGCATGGACTAGCAGGACCCGCCAAGCATGGACTAGCAGGGCCTGCCTAGCATGGACTAACAGGACCTACTGCAGTGTTCCTCTTTATTCACGTTCTTGGGATAATCTCGACAGACTGACGATGATGGAATCAAGGGCAACAATGATGTGTGTTCGTTACCTCATCCTGGCTGTAAGCTGCGGTCTGCTACCACCCTCAGTAAACACATATTCTTCCTTAAACTACAAGGTTAGTCACTAGTTGTTATTATTATTATTAATTATTTATTATTATTATTTATTATTATTATTATTATTATTATTATTATTATTATTATTATTATTATTATTATTATTTGATGTACATGTTTATAGAGGGGCAACTGATATATCGGATCATTATTTAGTTGTAGCTACAGTTAGAGTAAGAGGTAGATGGGAAAAGAGGAAGATGGCAACAACAAGTAAGAGGGAGGAGGAAGTTCGGGAGAGATACAAGCGACTATTGGCAGAAAGGTGGGCTAGTGCAAAGATGAGTAGTGGGGGGGTTGAAGAGGGTTGGAATAGTTTTAAAAATGCAGTATTAGAATGTGGGGCAGAAGTTTGTGGTTATAGGAGGGTGGGGGCAGGAGGAAAGAGGAGTGATTGGTGGAATGATGAAGTAAAGGGTGTGATAAAAGAGAAAAAGGTAGCTTATGAGAGGTTTTTACAAAGCAGAAGTGTTATAAGAAGAGCAGAGTATATGGAGAGTAAAAGAAAGGTGAAGAGAGTGGTGAGAGAGTGCAAAAGGAGAGCAGATGAAAGAATGGGAGAGGCACTGTCAAGAAATTTTAATGAAAATAAGAAAAAAATTTGGAGTGAGTTAAACAAGTTAAGAAAGCCTAGGGAACATATGGATTTGTCAGTTAAAAACAGAGTAGGGGAGTTAGTAGATGGGGAGATGGAGGTATTAGGTAGATGGCGAGAATATTTTGAGGAACTTTTAAATGTTGAGGAAGAAAGGGAGGCGGTAATTTCATGCACTGGCCAGGGAGGTATACCATCTTTTAGGAGTGAAGAAGAGCAGAATGTAAGTGTGGTGGAGGTACGTGAGGCATTACGTAGAATGAAAGGGGGTAAAGCAGCTGGAACTGATGGGATCAAGACAGAAATGTTAAAAGCAGGGGGGGATATAGTGTTGGAGTGGTTGGTACTTTTATTTAATAAATGTATGAAAGAGGGGAAGGTACCTAGGGATTGGCGGAGAGCATGTATAGTCCCTTTATATAAAGGGAAAGGGGACAAAAGAGAATGTAAAAATTATAGAGGAATAAGTTTACTGAGTATACCAGGAAAAGTATACGGTAGGGTTATAATTGAAAGAATTAGAGGTAAGACAGAATGTAGGATTGCGGATGAGCAAGGAGGCTTCAGAGTGGGTAGGGGATCTGTAGATCAAGTGTTTACATTGAAGCATATATGTGAACAGTATTTAGATAAAGGTAGGGAAGTTTTTATTGCATTTATGGATTTAGAAAAGGCATATGATAGAGTGGATAGAGGAGCAATGTGGCAGATGTTGCAAGTATATGGAATAGGTGGTAAGTTACTAAATGCTGTAAAGAGCTTTTATGAGGATAGTGAGGCTCAGGTTAGCGTGTGTAGAAGAGAGGGGAGATACTTCCCGGTAAAAGTAGGTCTTAGACAGGATATGTAATGTCACCATGGTTGTTTAATATATATTTATAGATGGGTTGTAAAAGAAGTAAATGCTAGGGTGTTCGGGAGAGGGGTGGGATTAAATTATGAGGAATCAAATTCAAAATGGGAATTGACACAGTTACTTTTTGCTGATGATACTGTGCTTATGGGAGATTCTAAAGAAAAATTACAAAGACTAGTGGATGAGTTTGAGAATGTGTGTAAAGGTAGAAAGTTGAAAGTGAACATAGAAAAGAGTAAGGTGATGAGGGTATCAAATGATTTAGATAAAGAAAAATTGGATATCAAATTGGGGAGGAGGAGTATGGAAGAAGTGAATGTTTTCAGATACTTGGGAGTTGACGTGTCGGCGGATGGATTTATGAAGGATGAGGTTAATCATAGAATTGATGAGGGAAAAAAGGTGAGTGGTGCGTTGAGGTATATGTGGAGTCAAAAAACGTTATCTATGGAGGCAAAGAAGGGAATGTATGAAAGTATAGTAGTACCAACACTCTTATATGGATGTGAAGCTTGGGTGGTAAATGTAGCAGCGAGGAGGTGGTTGGAGGCAGTGGAGATGTCCTGTCTAAGGGCAATGTGTGGTGTAAATATTTATGCAGAAAATTCGGAGTGTGGAAATTAGGAGAAGGTGTGGAGTTAATAAAAGTATTAGTCAGAGGGCAGAAGAGGGGTTGTTGAGGTGGTTTGGTCATTTAGAGAGAATGGATCAAAGTAGAATGACATGGAAAGCATATATAAATCTATAGGGGAAGGAAGGAGGGGTAGGGGTCGTCCTCGAAAGGGTTGGAAAGAGGGGGTAAAGGAGGTTTTGTGGGCGAGGGGCTTGGATTTCCAGCAAGCGTGCATGAGCGTGTTAGATAGGAGTGAATGGAGACGAATGATACTTAGGACCTGACGATCTGTTGGAGTGTGAGCAGGGTAATATTTAGTGAAGGGATTCAGAGAAACCGGTTATTTTCATATAGTCGGACTTGAGTCCTGGAAATGGGAAGTACAATGCCTGCACTTTAAAGGAGGGGTTTGGGATATTGGCAGTTTGGAGGGATATGTTGTGTATCTTTATACGTATATGCTTCTAAACTGTTGTATTCTGAGCACCTCTGCAAAAACAGTGATAATGTGTGAGTGTGGTGAAAGTGTTGAATGATGATGAAAGTATTTTCTTTTTGGGAATTTTCTTTCTTTTTTGGGTCACCCTGCCTCGGTGGGAGACGGCCGACTTGTTGAAAAAAAAATATTATTATTATTATTATTATTATTATTATTATTATTATTATTATTATTATTATTATTATTATTATTGCAGTCACCTGAAAGAGTGTCAGGCCTCTGGGTGTAAGTCACAGGAATATGGTTTATGTATGCTGACAGTATGTAAGTAAAACACATATGTAACACTGGAATATTTTATTAGGAAACGTTTCGCTCACAGGCAGCTTGGTTAAGTATATAAAGGAACGAAGAAGTGAGGTGTGGAAGGCATCAGGTCAATGGTGCATTGGTCAGGCTCGCAAAATAAAAAAAAGACATGACTAGTACGTCTGATATGCTAAAATTGTAAAAAAAAATCAACAGTATTGGAATGTCGGTCATTGACGATTCATTATACAACTAACCCGTACGTAGGGGACTTAAACTTACGACAACGTTTCGCCTCAGCTTCGACCATTGCGTCTGGTCCAACTTGGTCTCCTTAATTATGTGTCTGGCCTCTCACACACTACATTAGATGACCACCTTAACTTGGGTGGATTTCCCACGCTCTCTTCGTATCGATTCTTCCTGGTGAGCTGCGCCACGTTCATGGCAGCTCTCCCACGTACGCTTTATCACAGCCTCCGCAGTGTATATCACTGGTAGAACATATAAACAAGAATACGTATAAATGTGTTGTTTAAGCAGTTTTATAGAAAAAACGCTTTACTGACATGGGACTTTATCTATTCATATATTTATTAATGGATGGAACAATTATAAAACGAGTAATTTGATAGTGGTTCAGGACGGACAGAAAAGAAGTTTAAATTTTATTTGCAATTTATGGCCTTCTGTGGAGGTTCACTATGAAGGAAACACTTAGAGGAACTCTATAAGCTAATACTTAGTTGGTTGTGAACAATATGGTAGACGGTGGTGGCCATAGGCACTCACAGACGGGAAAATTAGCTTGTTGTCATCAGATAATAAGTACATGCCACTCTACCTGAAAGTTAAGTAACTATAGCCTACAATAGGCGATGTTTTCATTCCTTGTGAGGCCAGTGGGCGGATATGTTTAAGTGTGAAATTTCAAAAGTAACAATTGCCTCCTGTTACCCTTTCCTGTGGGCGTCGAGGGAACCAGGAAGAGTTTCATCTGACGCGGATCTTTGGCAGATGATGAACCGTAAATGTTTAAGCATCCTCTGGTTCATCCCAACTAGCTCCCGCTCATCATTTCAAAGAGGGTTGTTACCCAGTAGCATCCTAAGAGTAGTGCCATGCATACTACAGTGTAACTTTCTCCCTGTGCTCAAGAATATGAAATGCGTGCAGGAAAGTCAGTCTTTCTAGAAAAAACTTTTAGTAATCAAAAAAAAGTCTTAGCATGCTTGAAGGTCACCCCTTTTTTCCTAAGCCGACGCATCGGCTAATAAAAATAGCTAGTTTTCCTAGGTGTTTTACTCATAACTAGGTTTTCAAGCAACTAGTGAGTCGCATAAATGATATGTTATCTACTCGCCATTCGCTGCATTCTTATGTTCATAAGAGGGATTCTTTATTGACAGTTCCAGGTAGACACGTCACTGTCTGTCTTCACTAACTGCTTGCCCAGGGTGATGCAAATGGGCAACGGGACACAATCGTCACCTATAATGTACTGCATCATCTTGTGTTCCGCAGATCCCAGTTGTAACTTTGTTACGTACGACGGTAAGTATCAGATGAACCACTGTCACTTCTGTTACGTGCGATAGTAAGTGCCAGGTGATCCTCTGTCACCTTTGTGATCTTGACATCATAAAATGATAATGATTCTGATAAGAAGTGAAGGTTGGTGGACGAATCTGGAAAGATGTGTGTAAAAGAAGGAAATTAAAGTAAACATTGAAAAGAGCAGAGTGATGAGAGTAAGAAAATGTCTAATAAAAGACTGGCACTTGTACTGGAGGAAGTGAATGTGTTCAGGTGTTTGAGAGTAAACATGACTTCAGATGGGTCTATGAAAGACGAGGTGAACAGACGAAGAAAAAGAGGTAGGCGGAGTGTTGAGGTGTGTGTGTCTGGGTGTGTGGACTCAAGTTTATCTATGGAAGCCGAAGGGAGGAATTTAAGGAAAAAGAAAAGACTGGAGGCAGTGGAGATGTCAGGTTTGAAAGCAATCTGTTGAGCAAATATGCAAAGATTTCTGGGCATATAAATTAGAAGACGATGTGAAGACAAAATGTATAATTCGGAGGGCTGAGGAGAGGTTAAGATGGTGGTGGTATTTGGAGAGCATGGAGCAGAATGAGATTACTAGAAAGGCGTATAAATCCTGGGTGGAGGGAATGAGGAGTAGGATTCGTCCTGGGAAGTGCTTGAGAGAGGATATGAAGGAGGTTCTAAGTGATAGAGGCTTGATCATCCAACAGGTTTGTGTGAACGTGTTAGATCGGAGTGAGTGGAGGCAAGTGACATTTAGGATTTGATGTGCTGTTTAGTGTAAGCGAGGGGCATCATTTATGAAGGGATTCAGGGAAACGGGTCAGCAGGACAAGAGTCCTGGAAACTGGAAGTACAGAACGTGCACTCTGAAAGAGGCGTTGGGATACTGTATTTCGGAGGTTCGTTTGAACTGCGGCATTTTTACACTTCTGGTAAGACAGCTCTGGATAGAATGATGGTGAATGTTTCCCTTTAATAGCTTTCATATATTGGAGGGAGGCGGCCCGTGTAGTAAAAATTATTATTATAACTCATTAGGGTTCAGATAAACTCTTCTTCTGTCATAACTAACCAACTAATTGAAGGTTAAATATGACGGCGACTCGAGACGAGGCGACATATTTTTTTTTAGTGTCGTCTGCATGTTCCAGTTATTGCAATGTGGCTGTTATTCAGGTCCTTTTCCTTGCCCACGCAGGAGCGTCCTGTCTGCTACACACAGTGGTGCTAGCCAGCGGTTACAATGTTAACACCAGTGGTCCCTCTGTGTACCCAGCTTACAGATCATCAGGCCAGTCTATCCCACCAGTCAACATCGCGACCACAGCCACAGTCACAGCCACAACAGACTACCCTGGCTTCCCGACCTTCGCATCAGCGCTGGTGAGTCTGCTCGGCTTCTTGTTACTTGCCGAGGCTATTCAATATAAAACAACAAAAAAGGCACAATACCCTGACTAGATCAATACACATATAACCCGCACATAGTAGAAAAAAGCGGGTAATTTGTGTATTGTGTATGGTTACCACAGTAACCATGTTACTCAGGTACCTCAGTAGATTTCCATGTTGATGACAGCATTCTGGGACGGGACTAGTAAGCCAGTTTCTTAACACCTGTTGTTCCTGTTTATGTACCAGTAAGTGGGCACGTGAGTGTCAGTCGACTGTTGTGGGTCGCATCCCGGGGGAAGAAGACCCAAGGATCACATTATTATTATTATTATAATCATGGGGAGCGCTAAACCCGTAGGGATTATACAGCGCCTGTGGAAGGGGGGCATGGAAGGTATTCAGGCTTAATTCAGGGAACTGGAGCACAAATCCAATTCCATAGATCAAAAGCCCCTCACTAGCATCAAGGAACCTCCCTTGAGGGGCCAAGAACTACAATGTAAATAAATCACAGGACTTGGTTTTCTTGGGTTAATAACCCTTGTAATGTTATCAATTTTTTTTCCTGTTATTTTTTCTTTCTTCTCTTTCTCTCTTTTCTTCTTCTCACTCTTGCTCTCACGATTCTTCAATTAACGAACCTACTAGCTTCTGATAAAGTTTTCATTAAGAAACTGAAAGGCCTCAATCTGTTTTTCTACCCCGTGTTTCCAAACAAAGTTCACAAACATATCATCAGTGGTCATGGTGACGCAGGATCGATTCCCGGCTAGCCGCAGTTCTGTTGATAATTCAAAATTACTTGTTTTGTGGTTTTATACACACACACACACACACACACACACACACACACACACACACACACACACACACACACACACACACACACACACACACACACACATATATATATATATATATATATATATATATATATATATATATATATATCATAAAATCACTCAGTGCATATAACAGTAACATTTTCTTATAGGTTCAAGGAAACATTTGGTGCTGGCAGCAAGTAAGTGACTGTTCCTGCACTCTGAACAAGGCTAACCAGGTAGTGACTATCAACCTGGGCTCACCTCAGTACATGAGTCAAATTCTGGTCTATCGCACCGTCAGCAGCTACTCTAGCCTCTCCACCTCTATATCGATTTACGTGAGGATTTTCCACCTGTTTTTTCCATATTAATTTTTTTTAGCAAAGCATAAATCAGGTGATTGTTAAATTGAGAATGGGCAGGCGCCCGTAAAATTTGGATACGTCTGCAAGGTACTGCCAGTTATTATCCAGTGTAACAGTTACATTGCGTTATATTTTAAGTAATTATGATAATCAAGTTCCTAATTGTGCATTAGTGTTACCAATAATAACTGATATGAACAATAACTGAGTTATATTAGTATCTCATCTATTCAAGAAAATCATACTTTCATTTGTCAGGTGTTTGAAATTATATTTACGTAATAAGATTACTTAACGCTAGGTGTGGTTGTAACTCCAGTGCCTTGGATCAAGAATTTTGCTATTGCAGGTGGGAAACACTGGTAGTCGTCTCACTGATCCACTTCTCTACCAAGAAAACAGACCTTACACCTCAGTGGAGACTACACGTGTTTATACAGGTACGTACACACGTGCTTATTGTTACATAAAACGCGATTCTAAAAGCTTAGAGATCTCCAGTGAATACTAGAAAGGACTGCCCTTCTAGCATCCAGCCTGTTACTGGGTTTTCGTAACAATTAGTCAGTATCCTTGTCCAATTATCCATTAGAATTCAGTATCATTCAATAGTGCTTCAGGATTACAACTGGTAGGCTACTAACTAGAGAAATTAAAATTTAATAAATTTATTAAGTTGTCTAGGCGTATAATAATAATCACTTCTCTCGTGTACAATATTATTGTGCTGAAAGCACATATCACATTTATAATTCTTAAGTACCGTCTGGTACATTAACATTTAATAAGATAATATACAAATAAGTTTATGTGTATGTGTGTAAGTGCTCTAAGTAGTTCGCTATGTCTCACGACTCGACTAGACTTAAACAAGTGACTGACAAAGTCCTCCAATAAACTAACTTCTTGACCAACTGGCAATCAGAACAGTCTGCTTGAACAATAAAAAGAATGCTAAGCCCAATAGCAATATTACAAGCAACTGCGACAGGATCAGGAACAAGGAGATAATATAACGACACTAAGTAGGGACCATCAGCAGATCCTCTACAAAAGTCACAAAACTCCCATACTACTGAATCTAAGTTCAGCATAAGAAAATACCCGACTCTGACAGTACACAGATACCAGTACAAATTAGGTCAGAAGCTACAGCTCAGGACCTGAGTTACTCAGAGTGTCTAAGCGACACACAACCTCAGTACAACGTCGAAAATCACTAAGTCTATCCAAAGTTCTGTGAACAGAGTCTCCAGAACTAAGAAGAATAATAATGAGACAGAGATGATCTTCCAACAAGAGCCAATAAGGGAGATTTAGGCACTTGTCAGGAATACGTCCAACCACCAAGAGAGTCTAGACCAGACTGAATACTTCAGGCGAGGTGAGGACACCCCCCCTCGATCACGTGATAGCTCCGTGGACAGCTGCAGCTCAGCAACAGAAGCCACCAGAGTAACGAGCAAAGAGCGATAATTACAGTAGTTAGACAATCAAGACTTGAACTGTGCACATAATAATATGTTACATCCTACCTAACAACATAACTAAGTCAAATAATATTATAAAGCAATATATTCACGATTTAGCTATTATCGCAAATGTAAGCAATATAAAATTATATGAAAAAGGTAATATACATACATCATATAAATTGTAACCCATTCAGGGGTTGCAACATTATAAAGGTACGTATGCACGTGCTTATAAAGGTACTTATGCACGTGCTTATACAGGTACATACACACCTGCTTATACAGGTATGTACACACGTGCTTATACAGGTATGTACACACATGCTTATACAGGTATGTGCACACTTGCTTATACAGGTATGTACACACGTGCTTATACAGGTATGTACACACGTGCTTATACAGGTATGTACACACGTAAGAAGCAAGCCAAGCCAAAGACTCTCGGAGATACAAACAAGCCAGACTTGAATACAGAAACAAGGAGTGAGGCAGAGAGGAATTTTAATAACAAGAATAATTAGTAAAGGAGAGAGAGAGAGAGAGAGAGAGAGAGAGAGAGAGAGAGAGAGAGAGAGAGAGAGAGAGAGAGAGGTGGTATTAAGTCCTTTATTTAAAGTTGCAAATAGAGTAAATTAGTTGAAGGAGAGACGAGCGAAACACCTGGGTATCTTTATTGAGGGAACATTTCGGTCAACCAGCAGCTGAACCAGTCCAATGGGAAGTTGATAGATGGACTTTGAGGTAGTCAGTCCCTCTGGAACTCTTCACAATTAAAAGAATTCAGGTCGAGGATGAAAATTAATGAAATAAAAGATAAAGAACAATAGCCACAATACCGTGACTGGAACAACAGACAAATAACCCGCACATGTACTGGTTTCCTAACCTTCGTGTGTTAGTGTGACTTGTAAATGGTCAAAGTCGGACCGACGCATCGATATGACTTATGTAGGTTATTTGTGTAAAAGGGAATTGTGGGTCGAACCGGATGCAAAGACTAAGAAGTATTAAGAAGGAAGTTTCTCAGTGTATTTACAAGACACAACAAACCACGGTGCGGGTGGGGACTGAACTCGCGGCAAGTACAGTAGTTTGAAGTCGTGTCATTACGATTTCGTGAGTCAAGACACACCAAATGTACTCCATGAGAGGTAAAGTGTATACTAACATTATTACTGAAAGTATTAAGGATCGCAGATGAACAAGGAGACTTATTATTATTAAAGATTCGCCGATATTCTCCCGGCCCGGGCCTTTTCCAAGTGGTGGCCCGGCCTTGGCTCCCTGTCTAGGGAGTGTCTGAGACCTAAGTCTCTAATGAGAGGAGGCACAAGTACCTCCTCATCTTTGGGACCAACTGTCCCCAGGCCTAGCCACAAGCTAGGCCTCTCTGGTCTGCCATCCCCGCCCCAAGGGGGCTAATGGGAATGACAGTCTTGTGAGCTACAAGGTCTGGCTCAGGCACCTACCCTGCCCTAGAAGGGCTGGGCATGGTGTCGATGAGGGAGACTTTATAAAGGTTAGGGAATGTGGAAACCAAGTGTTTGCATTGGAGCATATTAGGAGAAAATGTATATATAAAAACATATTTTTTACATAAAAGTTATTAAAGGTTTGCAGTGTTTTCACTTTTTTTTTTAAGTCTCTGTTGCATATTTACTTTTTGTAATACTTAGCATTCCAGCCCAAAAATAGCATTTTCCCAGAGGGGTGAACAAAAGTGGATTTAATATTCTCATTTGCTTCTGAATGATGTAGCAAAAAAAGTTATATTCTATTTGTTATGGTTACCCCTTCTTAAACTGGTCCATATTAAAGGGTTAACTAATTGAAATTGTCTTCTTGACTCAAACAGTGACATCTTAAACAAGAGTGACAATTAAAACATTTGACGACTAAGATTTTTCATTAATGTGATTGTTACTAACATTAATGTGATTGTTACTAACATTGACGTGATTGTTACTAACATTGACGTGATTGTTACTAACATTGACGTGATTGTTACTAACATTAATGTGATTGTTACTAACATTGACGTGATTGTTACTAACATTGACGTGATTGTTACTAACATTGATGTGATTGTTACTAACATTAATGTGATTGTTACTAACATTGACGTGATTGTTACTAACATTGACGTGATTGTTACTAACATTGATGTGATTTGTTACTAACATTGACGTGATTGTTACTAACATTGACGTGATTGTTACTAACATTGACGTGATTGTTACTAACATTGACGTGATTGTTACTAACATTAATGTGATTGTTTACTAACATTGACGTGATTGTTACTAACATTGACGTGATTGTTACTAACATTAATGTGATTGTTACTAACATTGACGTGATTGTTACTAACATTGACGTGATTGTTACTAACATTGACGTGATTGTTACTAACATTGATGTGATTGTTACTAACATTGATGTGATTGTTACTAACATTGACGTGATTGTTACTAACATTAATGTGATTGTTACTAACATTGACGTGATTGTTACTAACATTGACGTGATTGTTACTAACATTGATGTGATTGTTACTAACATTGACGTGATTGTTACTAACATTGACGTGATTGTTACTAACATTGACGTGATGTTACTAACATTGATGTGATTGTTACTAACATTGACGTGATTGTTACTAACATTAATGTGATTGTTACTAACATTAATGTGATTGTTACTAACATTGACGTGATTGTTACTAACATTAATGTGATTGTTACTAACATTGACGTGATTGTTACTAACATTGACGTGATTGTTACTAACATTAATGTGATTGTTACTAACATTGACGTGATTGTTACTAACATTGACGTGATTGTTACTAACATTGACGTGATTGTTACTAACATTGATGTGATTGTTACTAACATTGATGTGATTGTTACTAACATTGACGTGATTGTTACTAACATTAATGTGATTGTTACTAACATTGACGTGATTGTTACTAACATTGACGTGATTGTTACTAACATTGATGTGATTGTTACTAACATTGACGTGATTGTTACTAACATTGACGTGATTGTTACTAACATTGATGTGATTGTTACTAACATTGACGTGATTGTTACTAACATTAATGTGATTGTTACTAACATTGACGTGATTGTTACTAACATGACGTGATTGTTACTAACATTGACGTGATTGTTACTAACATTGACGTGATTGTTACTAACATTGATGTGATTGTTACTAACATTGACGTGATTGTTACTAACATTGACGTGATTGTTACTAACATTGACGTGATTGTTACTAACATTGATGTGATTGTTACTAACATTGATGTGATTGTGATTGTTACTAACATTGATGTGATTGTGATTGTTACTAACATTATTACTGTCTTTGTTTCAGTGGGCAAGACAGCTCAGTACATCACGTTTTACAGGAACGATGGCAGTAACCTGTGTTTGTGCAGGGTACTTATTTATGACTAGTGCTGCCTGGAACACCTGTCTGTGTAGGGTGATACTCTCAACACCTGTGTTTGTGGAAAGTGCTGCCTGCAACACCTGTGTCTGTGTAGGTTGCTACTCTCAACACCTGTGTTTGTGGAAAGTGCTGCCTGGAACACCTGTCTGTGTAGGTTGCTACTCTCAACACCTGTGTCTGTGTAGGGTGCTACTCTCAACACATGTGTCTGAGGGTGCTTATTTACCAGTGCAGCCTTCAACACCTGTGTCTGTGGAAGGTGCTACCTTCAACACCTGTGTCTGTGGAAGGTTCTACTTTCAACATCTGTGGAAGGTGTTCATGTAACAGGTGTTGAGTGTTCTTCTCAACACCTGCGAAAATGACTAGAATACCGAATTTTTACATTGAAAAAACTGAAGGGAATTGTCGCTACAGTTTCTTGGATCAAGAGCCTCTCACAGGGCTCTTAATGACCCTCCATGAAGAGTTATTAAGAGTAGTGTGGGAGGACATAATAACCAGGAACCAGCCTACTATACTTGAAGTGTACCTGGAGTATACCTGGAGGTGGTTTCGGGGGTCAACGCCCCCCGCGGCCCGGTCCATGACCAGGTTCGCTGCTGACCAGAACCTCATCAACCAGACTGTCATTGCTAGCTGCACGTAAACCGATGTAGGAACCACAGCCTAACTGAACAGACACCTGGCCATGTGTCTGTTCAGGTACACTAAATAATTCCTAAAAATTGTAATTTTCTCTCTCTCCCATGTGAATCTAAGCAACTGAGTCCTGTCTCCCATGCAATACGCACCTCGACAGATGTTAATGCAGCACTGTTTCTCCCACGCAGTGGGCCCCACATTTCGGGCGAAACGTTGGCAGTGGAAGCGACGAGACTCACGCTGTTTGCAGATTACACGGTGGCGATGCATGTTTTTTTCCATTAGTGAGGAAAGCACTAAAGCAGTATGGGGCTATGCAGCACTTTCTTGAATCAAGACCCTCATTTCCGGCATCAAGACACCTTCCTTTGAGGAGACAATGTCCCTGAAGGAACAAGTTCCAGATGTTAAAATAACAACAATGATGTACATTTTATATACATTATATATAGTGATTGATATAATATTATATGATTATATTATTATAACATTATTATATATATATTATGGATAATATACATATTATATAAGAAGATATATATGATATATTGCAGTATTATATATATGACTATGCTGATGAGATGTACAGTTATTCATAAAAACTGAGTAAATCAGCCCACATTTCTCTAGATTAATCCATTTTTTTTTTCAGAAAAAACAATAATCTTTTACAGGAACCCCAAATTTCATTTGATATTAATTCAAGTGTTCGGAGACGCTTTTAAGTGAAGCAGCGAATGTTAACTTGATATAACTGTGGATAGTGCTATTCTTCTTGCAGGACAGGGTAAGATGGATGTGATGTTGTTGTTCAATTGATGTGATGTTGTTGTCATGATGTACTGTTGTTGTCCATGGATGTTGATAGTTTTGTCATTGATGTGAATGATTGTGTCACAGGATTACTGTTGTTTTCATGATGTGAATGTGGGTTGTCATGAATTCTGTAGTTATTCATGGTATGTGATGTTGATTGTCATGGATGACACTTTGTTGTCATGATGTGATGTTGTTCATGGATGTACGTTTGTTGTCAAGGATGTGTGTTGTCAAGGATGTATGTGTTGACAAGGATTACTGATTGTTGTCTGGATGTGAAGTTTTTGCCCATGGATGTACTTGTTGTCATGGATGTGATGTTGTTGTCATGGATGTGATGTTTTTCCATGGATGTATGTTTTGTCATGGATGTGATGTTTTTGTCATGGATGTACTGTTGTTGTCATGGATGTGATGTTGTTGTCATGGATGTACTGTTGTTGTCATGGATGTGATGTTGTTGTCATGGATGTACGTTGTTGTCATGGATGTATGTTGTTGTCATGGATGTACTGTTGTTTGTCAGGATGTGATTTGTTGTCATGGATGTACTGTTGTTGTCATGATGTGATGTTGTCATGGATGTGATGTTGTTGTCATGGATGTTATGTTTTTGTCATGATGTGATGTTGTTGTCATGGATGTACTTTGTTGTCATGGATGTACTGTTGTTGTCATGGATGTACTGTTGTTGTCATGGATGTGATGTTGTTGTCATGGATGTGATGTTGTTGTCATGGATGTACTTTGTTTGTCATGGATGTATGTTGTTGTCATGGATGTATGTTGTTGTCATGGATGTGATGTTGTTGTCATGGATGTACTGTTGTTGTCATGGATGTGATGTTGTTGTCATGGATGTGATGTTGTTGTCATGGATGTGATGTTGTTGTCATGGATGTGATGTTGTTGTCATGGATGTGATGTTGTTGTCATGGATGTACTGTTGTTGTCATGGATGTGATGTTGTCATGGATGTGATGTTGTTGTCATGGATGTGATGTTGTTGTCATGGATGTGATGTTGTTGTCATGGATGTACTGTTGTTGTCATGGATGTGATGTTGTTGTCATGGATGTACTGTTGTTGTCATGGATGCGATGTTGTTGTCATGGATGTGATGTTGTTGTCATGGATGTACTGTTGTTGTCATGGATGTATGTTGTTGTCATGGATGTATGTTGTTGTCATGGATGTGATGTTTTGTCATGGATGTACTGTTGTTGTCATGGATGTGATGTTGTTGTCATGGATGTACTGTTGTTGTCATGGATGTGATGTTGTTGTCATGGATGTGATGATGTTGTTGTCATGGATGTGATGTTGTTGTCATGGATGTGATGTTGTTGTCATGGATGTGATGTTGTTGTCATGGATGTACTGTTGTTGTCATGGATGTATGTTGTTGTCATGGATGTGATGTTGTTGTCAAGGATGTGATGTTGTTGTCATGGATGTACTGTTGTTTGTCATGGATGTACTGTTGTTGTCATGGATGTGATGTTGTTGTCATGGATGTGATGTTGTTGTCATGGATGTACTGTTGTTGTCATGGATGTACTGTTGTTGTCATGGATGTGATGTTGTTGTCATGGATGTACTGTTGTTGTCATGGATGTGATGTTGTTGTCATGGATGTGATGTTGTTGTCATGGATGTACTGTTGTTGTCATGGATGTGATGTTGTTGTCATGGATGTATGTTGTTGTCATGGATGTGATGTTGTTGTCATGGATGTACTGTTGTTGTCATGGATGTGATGTTGTTGTCATGGATGTGATGTTGTTGTCATGGATGTACTGTTGTTGTCATGGATGTGATGTTGTTGTCATGGATGTACTGTTTGTTGTCATGGATGTATGTTGTTGTCATGGATGTGATGTTGCGGGTCATTGGATGTGGATGTTGTTGTCATGGATGTACTGTTGTTGTCATGGATGTGATGTTGTGCATGGATGTGATGTTGTTGTCATGGATGTGATGTTGTTGTCATGGATGTGATGTTGTTGTCAGGATGATGAGTTGTTGTCATGGATGTGATGTTGTTCATGGATGTGATGTTGTTGTCATGGATGTGATGTTGTTGTCATGGATGTGATGTTGTTGTCATGGATGTACTGTTGTTGTCATGGATGTGATGTTGTTGTCATGGATGTACTGTTGTTGTCATGGATGTGATGTTGTTGTCATGGATGTGATGTTGTTGTCATGGATGTACTGTTGTTGTCATGGATGTGATGTTGTTGTCATGGATGTACTGTTGTTGTCATGGATGTGATGTTGTTGTCATGGATGTGATGTTGTTGTCATGGATGTACTGTTGTTGTCAAGGATGTACTGTTGTTGTCATGGATGTGATGTTGTTGTCATGGATGTGATGTTGTTGTCATGGATGTTCTGTTGTTGTCATGGATGTGATGTTGTTGTCATGGATGTACTGTTGTTGTCATGGATGTGATGTTGTCTGTCATGGATGTGATGTTGTTGTCATGGATGTACTGTTGTTGTCATGGATGTGATGTTGTTGTCATGGATGTGATGTTGTTGTCATGGATGTACTGTTGTTGTCATGGATGTACTGTTGTTGTCATGGATGTGATGTTGTTGTCATGGATGTGATGTTTGTTGTCATGGATGTAATGTTGTTGTCATGGATGTGATGTTGTTGTCATGGATGTATGTTGTTGTCATGGATGTGATGTTGTTGTCATGGATGTGATGTTGTTGTCATGGATGTACTGTTGTTGTCATGGAAATGTGATGTTGTTGTCATGGATGTGATGTTGTTGTCATGGATGTCACTGTTGTTGTCATGGATGTATGTTGTTGTCATGGATGTGATGTTGTTGTCATGGATGTGATGTTGTTGTCATGGATGTACTATTGTTTTCATGGATGTGATGTTGTCATGGATGTGATGTGTTGTCATGGATGTACTGTTGTGGTCATGGATGTGATGTTGTTGTCATGGATGTGATGTTGTTGTCATGGATGTACTGGTTGTTGTCATGGATGTGATGTGTTGTCATGGATGTGATGTTGTTGTCATGGATGTGATGTTGTTGTCATGGATGTGATGTTGTTGTCATGGATGTACTGTTGTTGTCATGGATGTGATGTTGTTGTCAGGGTGTACTGTTGTTGTCATGGATGTGATGGATTGTTGTTGTCATGGATGTGATGTTGTTGTCATGGATGTACTGTTGTTGTCATGGGGATGTTGTGCAGGGATTTTTTGTCATGGCTGTACTGTTGTTGTCATGGATGTGATGTTGTTGTCATGGATGTGATGTTGTTGTCATGGATGTATGTTGTTGTCATGGATGTACTGTTGTTGTCATGAATGTGATGTTGTTGTCATGGATGTGATGTTGTTGTCATGGATGTTCTGTTGTTGTCATGGATGTGATGTTGTTGTCATGGATGTACTGTTGTTGTCATGGATGTGATGTTGTTCTCATGGATGTGATGTTGTTGTCATGGATGTACTGTTGTTGTCATGGATGTGATGTTGTTGTCATGGATGTGATGTTGTTGTCATGGATGTACTGTTGTTGTCATGGATGTACTGTTGTTGTCATGGATGTGATGTTGTTGTCATGGATGTTGATTGTTGTTTGTCAGGGATGTATGTTGTTATCATGGATGTGATGTTTTTGTCATGGATGTGATGTTGTTGTCATGGATGTACTGTTGTTGTCATGGATGTGATGTTGTTGTCATGGATGTGATGTTGTTGTCATGGATGTACTGTTGTTGTCATGGATGTACTGGTATGTATTTGTTGTCATGGATGTGATGTTGTTGTCATGGATGTGATGTTGTTGTCATGGATGTACTGTTGTTGTCATGGATGTGATGTTGTTGTCATGGATGTACTGTTGTTGTCATGGATGTGATGTTGTTGTCATGGATGTGATGTTGTTGTCATGGATGTACTGTTGTTGTCATGGATGTGAATGTTGTTGTCATGGTTGTACTGTTGTTGTCATGGATGTGATGTTGTTGTCATGGATGTACTGTTGTTGTCATGGATGTAGTTGTTGTCATGGATGTGATGTTGTTGTCAGGGATGTGATGTTGTTGTCATGGATGTGATGTTGTTGTCATGGATGTGATGTTGTTGTCATGGATGTATGTTGTTGTCATGGATGTGATGTTGTTGTCATGGGTGATGTTGTTTTGATGTATGGTTGTTGATGTTTTGTTGTCATGGATGTGATGTTGTTGTCATGGATGTATGTTGTTGTCATGGATGTGATGTTGTTGTCATGGATGTGATGTTGTTGTCATGGATGTACTGTTGTTGTCATGGATGTGATGTTGTTGTCATGAATGTGATGTTGTTGTCATGGATGTGATGTTGTTGTCATGGATGTGATGTTGTTGTCATGGATGTACTGTTGTTGTCATGGATGTGATGTTGTTGTCATGGATGTGATGTTGTTGTCATGGATTATGTTCAGGGATTGTTTGTCATGGATGTGATGTTGTTGTCATGGATGTACTGTTGTTGTCATGGATGTACTGTTGTTGTCATGGATGTGATGTTGTTGTCATGGATGTACTGTTGTTGTCAATGGATGTATG